CTGTGCATTAAATTTTGAAACAAACAAACTCTCTAAAATCTATGAATCCTTTTATGTTTAAGAAACTGGATTCTTTATTTTGATTTCTACGTAATATAGAAATAGTTATACCTAAACATCTCCAGCTTTTAATATATCACCAGATATCACACGTTCAAATATTATAAATAATATGTATATATAAAGAACGATTTATATACACTGTAACGCCACAGTTATGAGCAGTGGTGCCATTTTTAACACTTATATACATATGTATTCTCAGCGAATTCCCGACTATTCAACAATGAAATGTCGCGACAAATAGGGTGTAATAGCAAAGTTTGGGGCATACTAAATTACCAGTTTACTACGACGACCATATAGGATGTAGTAAATAGCATTGGCAAAAGAAGATCATTACAATTTACACGATAGTATAAAATCACCTAAACAGCATCTCAATATGCACAGGACTTATACTATCATTGCCAGAATTCGCAAACTGGTTGTCTAGGAATTCTCTCCCTCACCCAGAAAGCGATTAGTAATATATCCTAGTTTGTTGCTATGGTGAAAATTGCGGTATCAGGCAATGATCATGGCCGTCAGGTTGAATAGGGTCGACAATGGAGGAGGTAATTCCATAGTCAGTATAGGAATTGTGACATTATTCTCATAAAAGAGATTAACTCTTCATACAGTCTGTAAATGTGTTGGTTTTAACGGAAAATAAACTTAGTTATGTGGTGAAATAGATAATTTTAAATGGTATTGAATGAACAAACAATAATCATATTTTCCCAAATTTTATACTGCTTATTGTTGAGTTACCTCATAACAAGTGAAGAAAATATATTAAGTATTAAGTCTTTCACTTTTAAAATATAAAAACATTATCATTACTAAATAGCTAAAACTTGGGAAGATGAATGTAAAGCCGGTATATCCATATAAAACTAAAAAAAAAAACCTGTGTGTATGTCTGTTTGTCCGTTATCTAACTACTCCTAGGTTACTGAACCAATCTCAACCTAACTTTGTGGGAGTATAGCTTGGAACAAGGGACATGTTAATGGTGCTACGTCCCTAATAAAAATGTTTATTAAACTTTCTCTAACACAATATACACATACTGTAGGGGAGAGTACACAAACGTCTTATATATATATAAGCATAGTGTGCGCTAGCATTCTTTATGTAGTAATGCAATGAAAAAATGGCCGCCACTATTGCAATAATACATAAAATCAGCTGAAGTTTCTACTTCAACAGCTGATATGACGAACCGTTTCTTCAGTTATACTCACTTCCTACGTTGACCCGTGACGTTTCAACTTTGGCCCATAAAGACATTAAGAGTTGGATGTTGAGAGCAGGTAACAGAAAGCACCCATACTGCTACAAATTTGTACGCTACATCTTCCTACAAAGTCACCCTGACCATCGCACAGTGTACACCATGTTTTAAGTGTGTATATATATATGTATTGAGTTCTTAAAGCTTATACAAAACTTTTGATGAGGTAATAATAAATACTGTAATAATATGTTATGTTGCAAAGAAATTGTGTGAAAATTACGAGTTTTGTGTTATTTATTATAGCATCCACCCCCACATTTTTGTAAGTTCATACTCCGGACAAAGGACGGATACATTAGCTTGTCAAGTATAAATTTCTTTAATGATACCGGTTACTGAAATCTTTTCGACTATTTTACCAGTAAGTTACATGTGTTAAGTTATATCAAGTATTAGCTAATATCCAGCTACTATATATGTTGTAGTAAATGATATTGGTTATTGAAATCTTTTCGACTATTTTACCAGTAAGTTACATGTGTTAAGTTATATTAAGTAGTAGCTAATATCCAGGGTTCGATTTCCCGCGGTAGACACAGCAGGTAGTCCAAAGTGGCTTTGCTTTAAATCAAACAAACAAGTTCTTGCCATTAAGTTACATGTGTTAATGTTGGTTAAGTAGAAGCTGCTTTGCTGATGCTAATTATTGAAAGCTTTTTGACTATTTTATCAGCAAATTACCAAAAAGAAAAGAAAAAAATGCATGAAAGAGTAGACCAGACCTCTATATAACATTTTCATCACTGAAATTCACGTTTTGGCGAAGAAAAGAAATAAAGAAATAAATGTTAACCTGCATCAAAAAGAAGCTGCTTTATTGACACACGTTATTTGAAAGCTTTTGTCTTCTTTAAAGCAGTGAACACAATACTTATCATTCTGTATAACTTATTATGCATATGTGAGTGTTTGTGTTGATCTTCTAAGCATGAGTGTGGCTGTGCCAGGCATTAGCTTGTAACAGAGAATGTATCGTTCAATATTCTAATTAGATTTACAACGCGTTGAGAATTAATACAATGTAAACAAATACAGGAATATATAAACATACTCTGTTTAACTGACTTCTCTTCGACATTTCAAGGGTTTCATTATTGTATCATTTATGATGGCATAACTAAATAATATTTGCATATTTTTGCAATATAACAACATTGGTATCACTGTACGTACATCTAGGTTACACAACAGTTATGTTGATTCTGACATACAAATAAAACAGAACGTAAAAACAGCGTTCACTCTCCTTTAAAATAATTCTTCAGACAAAAAAGCAAAAAAAACGTTGCACATAAAAAGAAAGATAAATAAAACTAGGGTACAAACTACAACGTGCTAAAGGTAAAATTTACCTTAAAAAGAGAGGTACCCGGCGAAGTAGAATCCACACAGCTGTAAGAATAAACTTCAATCAAATACAACCTCTTGTCTAAACTTTCAAATAAGATAGAAAAATAGAGGTAGACGACTGGAGGTGAAGGTGCAAGTGGTCCCGGGTTCACATACTTCATTTGGGATAATAGCTCCTAGGACTGAAAGTATTTGTCCTGTACTAGAAGCACTTATTGTTGCTTTTTTGGAAATTCAGAAGAGACATTCCATTTTACATTTGTTTAATAGCAGTATTGTTCAGTCTAGATATCTTGGGTTTTATTATACTGTTCATTAAGTACGTATTTGACCACTGTAGTAAACCAACTTAAGAACCTGAGCTAACGGGTTAACCTAGTAAGACACCACATTCCTCCTCTCTCACAAATAAGGCGCATCTTTGGCCTTGCCTCAGGGCCATAGGACGAACAATTTTGGGGCTATTATCCCAAATGAAGTATGTGAACCCGGGACCACTTGCACCTTCACTCCCGGTCGTCTACCTGTATTTTTCAATCTTATTTGAAAGTTTAGATTGTCCGTTATAGAATCTAGTACATTTTTGGCATTTAGAAATAAACATAATAACTAAATTTAAACAAACATTTACAATTTTATAGAATAATATCCGCACATATACTATGTAAATATAAATGTATGTATGTGGATCGCTTTGAAAATTTTCAAAAGTGCTTACATTTTTCAACAATTCAAAATGTGCAAAACCACTAACGCATTAAGATATTTCAACATTTCAAAATGTGCAAAACCACCAACGTATTAACATTTTTCAACAATTCAAAATGTGCAAAACCACTAACGCATTAAGATATTTCAACATTTCAAAATGTGCAAAACCACTAACGCATTAACATATTTCAACATTTCAAAATGTGCAAAACCACTAACGTATTAACATATTTCAACATTTCAAAATGTGCAAAACAACTAACGCATTAACATATTTCAACATTTCAAAATGTGCAAAACCACTAGTGCATTGACATATTTCAACATTTCAAAATGTGCAAAACAACTAACGCATTAACATATTTCACTATTTTGCCCACAATTATTTTTATTTTACTTTATATACCTGTCCATTTACCGATTTTTTTTTATACAATTAGAATATGATTTTTAGAGCAAGGCTACACAAAGAACTAACTGCGCATAGCTGTAACTAATTTTGAACTGTTAGAGTAGAGGAATGATAGATCGTAAACAACACCCCACCGCTAACTCGTGGTTATTCTTATGTGATCAATTAGTGGGGGTTGACCACTTCTACATACCCATGGCGCCCAAATTTCGGAGAGCATTTTTTTGGAACGAGACGCGAACCATGAACCCCCAGATTCATAGTCAGAGTACGCCTACACTAGTCCATGACCGGCCCATTTTTAAAGTATAAATTATTTTTACATAATATTTTTTTAGAACGAGTACCCAACGGCCACCTGCCCTGTTTTTGTGTTCAAAAACGACTGTAACCAGTTTAAGTTACTTTCCTAAAATGGTTCAGACATTCTGGAATATCTTCTTAGAAGATATTTAAAAAATACCTTATGCAAAAACTGTTTTATGTGTAACTCTATAGCCTTAAACGATTATAAGCAAGCTCAAGGAGTTTATTACAACTTTGTATAGCAACATCATAAAGGATCAGTTACTTTCAAAGAACTAAAACACACATGCGCTCAACAAATTTATAGTTTAAATGTTTTCAAAGAGTGGGTCATTTTCTTATTTTTTTTAAGAAAAGTAGTATGCTCCAAAATGGGTTTTGGGAATAAATGCTTCAACTCCGGAAGTTCTTGTGAAAATTCTATATATCAGCTTTTCAAAGTAGTGGTGTACAGAATTAAAAAAAACAAAAAACTCTGAGCTATATATATATATATATTATTATTATTACTAATTTTGAAGAAATATATGCAGTCTTGGAATCATTAATAGCAAATCAAAAGTACCTCGTTATTTTATCAGAAGAAAAACTTAAAAAGAACTAGTCCAAGACAATTAATTCACAAAAACAAAACTGACACATTTAATGCACAACAGTTTCATATAACACATTCCACTCCCCAATTCCAAAAAATTATTTTATCGTACATTATTAGCCTAAGCCTATTACACTAACCTAATATGCTATCTTCATGAAAATTACTACTACCGTAGAGATTCGTGTTTTGTTATCAAAATCACAAAAGGCTTTGTAACTTCATTAGATATAACAAATTTTAACACATTCAAACTAATCTCATTTAGACATTTACGCACATACCTTAGTTAAACTTTGAGGATGTCTCAAAAGTTATTTAATTTTCTTAGTCTTATTCCACACGTTTCTTAAAAATCCATCTGACGAATAGTTTAATATACTCACAAGTGACTGCTTGTAATCAGTGACGTAGCTAGACTCAACGAATCAGGTGTGAGCTTCTGTTTGGTTATCACGATATTGTACTGAGAGCAGACTCGAACAAAGAGAAAAAGCAGTATAGACGTTGGACGCGAACTTAAAAGTGCTTGTAGTCTGAACATGCTTTCCTTTCACTGTAAGTCATAATTTCTTCGTCATCAAAAGATAAATTACACTCATATATTTTGTGATAAAAGATATCTTCTTATAAAGCCGGTACTACACAATCAGTACAGATTAAGTATATCTTCCCTGAGTCTGTGCTATCAGTATAATTAAACCGAGAGAAAAAAAAACATGCATTTATATTGTTGAGATGAAAATAAGTTCATTAACTTGTCTATCATTACTGATCTTATGCCGATATAATCACCAATGCAGGGTGACTATAACGGGGATGATGTTTATCTAACTTAACTGTTTTTGAATTTAAGAAAAAATATAACGCTGATACTAACTAGATGTACTTTCTCAGGATCCCCAAAAGTGTTCTGTTTCAAGAGCAAATAAAACCAAAATTAAGAGTAACAATTATTTTTATTTTTCGCTTTTAAAGTTCATATGTCATGTCGTGTTGTGGCCTACAAAGTGCATAATTCTTACCTTGATTGATGGTATGCGCACGTTTTACTGATGTCATCACGACAGTACGCCCCCCCCCCTCCCCAGTGGTGGGTAGAGCACAGATAGCCTAATGTGCAGCTTTGTACTTAACTCCAAACAAACAAACGCGACAGTACAAATTGCAATTTTATGCGTTCTTTATGTGACATCATTTTAGTGTCTACTGGCTGACACAGACAACATATTACTGTATAGTGGTTCGAGTAGCTAAAACAGGTGACCACTCCAGGCGGTCTTTGGCCCCCTTTCGGAGAAATTAGGAGACATTTAGTCGTGATAATATAGACTAAGCAAGATGCAGAATCCGGAAGGTGTCTTGTTCTATTGTAACCCGTTTATTAAAATGGTTCACAGACGTCAGCAGAAGATTAAGGTAGCGAATGCAAGGTTCAAGTTCATTCAAAATACGCTCAATCAAAGTTGGTAGCTGTTGAATGTGTTAGCCAGGTAGATGACTGCAGTCATTCTGCGATCCAACTTCAGTTAGTACATGTGCAGTAGAGTGTTACATTATTGTCATGGCACTGGAAGAGCTCTTGATCGGTAGGGTTGGAAGTTCATCCTTAAGGACTCAAAAAAATACCAATACCCTGATACAAGAACATTCACCTCATGATTAAGCCACCTCCAGCAGCTTACATTATTGGAGCAACACAAGAAGAGTCAAGTGAATCAGGTTTTTTTTCCTTTACTTGTTCTGTCCTGTCAGAACCAAAAAGGTAAGATGTGAATCATCAGATCACACCACACGTGTGGTATGGAGGTATATCATTGTGATATCAAGCGGATTTACCTCAGAGTAAATCGATAGGCCCATTAAAGAGAGGTTCTAGAGTCTCGAATGTTGAGATATATCCCCCTTTGTTTAGCAACTGTTGTTAGGTCGCACAAGGAAAAGACTTAAAATCCAGATAACAAATATTCAATAAGAAACACACAAAATAAAATAGAAAACAATACAATACAACACTAAGGGCAAATGACTATGTATTGTGGTGGCAAGGGATAACTGACAGCTTATCAGGCAGTGTGCCTTCCCACCCCCCACCCCCCTGTAAGTCGAAACAAATTCTAAATCTTATTAGGAAAATCCAAATAAAACTTGAAATTCCCTCACTATTTACTTCACTTGACTCCTCGGTTGTACTCCCTCCAAAACGAGAACATGTTGATTTTACGACGAAAATGAAAGCGTAAACACAAGTACTTGGTCCGAGGAAGGCCAATCCCTAATCTTTGTTATAAAGTATGGCTAAAATATTATTTTTATACTTTAATTAAAGTCCCCTGGTGGGACAGCGGTAAGTCTAGGGACTTACAATGCTAAAATCAGAGGTTCGATTCCCCTCGGTGAACAAAGAAGTTAGCCCGATGTGGCTTTGCAATATAAAAAAGAGGCCCGGCATGGCCAGGTGGTTAGGGCGCTCGACTCTCAATCTGCGGGTCGCTGGTTCGAATCCCCCGTCCCACCAAACATGCTCGCCCTTTCAGCCGTGAGGGCGTTATAATGTGACGTTCAATCCCATTATTAGTTGGTAAAAGAGTAACGCAAGAGTTGGCGGTGAGTGGTGATGACTAGCTGCCTTCCCTCTAGTCTTACACTGCTAAATTAGGGACGACTAGCGCGTGTAGCTTTGCGCGAAGTTCATAACAAACCAAACCAGATAAGAGCCACAGACTGAACTGTCATATGCCAGCACAGGACACGTTAGCTTCTGAAGATACCAAGCCCAGATTGTGCCATTTGTTTACTAATGCACTGTGGTTTATCGTTATATTGAAGGCCATATCTGCTCTCGGAAGTTTTTATGTGTATGTAACTTTCTAATGTATTCAGCACAAAAGAGGCTGGTTTCTGCTGAAGCTCCATATTGACTTAGTCTCAGTTTAACGTTCATTACCTCGAAAGCGCTAGATCTTTCACACTGCGCCCCCTCGTTTTAATACATAAAAATTCATTAAATAATATTAACACACTTCAAATTTTGTTTCAGTATTCGACTTTTGAGAATTAAAAGCTTTTAAAAGAGTTAGCTATTTTTTTTTATTTCTCATGTTTTTTGTTTTTTTGAGTCGCTAAGATCGTAAAAAGCAGAAACGAATCCCCCCCCCCCAAAAAAAAACAAAACGCATGCTGGTAATAGATATCGTGGTTCTGAAAATGTGAACTCAATGTATTAGTTCGTCAGGAAATTAATGTCTTTCTTTTTAGATGCAAAAACCCGAACAACTTAGATATCAAAACAAAGCATTTATTAAATGAAATAGTCTCCATTGTTACCGATAATGCTTTTCCATCTTACAATCAGGTTGTTAATGCCCTGGTTAAAGAAATCACTTCGCTTTGAAGCAAAAAACATGTCGCTGGCCTCTTCAACCCCTTTCACATTTG